GAAGTATGTCGATATCTCCACTAGCAAGAAAGTCCGTAAGGCTGCTGCGCCTTTCCTCGAATGGCTTGAGAAGGCTGAATCAGAGAGCGAAGAAGAGAGCGACGACGAATAGATAGTTAATCTATTCATGGTCCTTTATTTTATGGAACCTACTTTCGGGATGTTTTTGACTGGCTTTTATTCCTCGTCCCAACTACTTTCCACTCGTTTTACTTTTGTTGACAGACAGCATAACCTGTTGTGATGTTTCTGGTTTGAGAATAATCAGAGAAAACAAACAAAAAATAGTTGTGATTAGTGCTCTCCAATTGAATCTCTTCGCTTATTTTTCTGTATCCATCGTAAACCTGCCCTGAGTTTCAAAGTCCAGTACTTTTTACAGACTTTGGGGCCCCCTACGCTTTAGGGGCGTTCCAATGTCAAATCTACCTCTTCCCAACATTGACTCCCTATGTATTACAAAGAGGAACCTATCCTGTGGCTCGCTATGGATATATACACTGAAGGAATTGAATACCATTGTCAAGGGGTAAGGTATCGGTCTCGACTCTCTATTTGGCACGACCAGGGTTCTTCTCCTATCCCTTAACAATCTACGAAGATACTCGTAATATATTGATATCATCATTCAATCGTTACAATTTGGAAGATATATTCTCTCATGCCCTTAAGCCCCTTTATAATCGAAGTTTTCATCAACATTTAGAACACCAACTCTGCAAACTTCAGTTTATTTCCTGGTGATGACCATGTTTGCAAGCGGTCTTCATTGATTTCACTTATCAATGGAGCACTGTGTGTCTTCCTTTGAGATGTGAAATTCCGCACTTGTGCTTTTTGCTGCTGAAATATGAACCAAGTCAAGTCAATGTTCCAGGTTTCCATTGCCTCAATAGCATTGTTAACAGAGTCAATTTCCGGGCGGAGAGAAGACGGAATCTCCTGCCTTGAAGAAGAACAGGAAGAATAATAACCTGGACCCGCAAACCGGGCTATCCACGCTGCAAGAAACGCGCAGATCTGGTCACCCATAGACAAAGGTAGGCGGACGTGCGTGAGAAGAGTTATGAACAGGGAGAGGAGAGCTCGCCAGAGACTATGGTGAGGTGTGAAAGCGCGTGCGCCTGAGGGCCCCCCTGCTGTATTGAGAGATAGTGATTGTGAGAGTCCTAGGGATAATGAAAGAAGTATATCTGTGTTTTTTCCGGAGGGTTGGCTTTTGGCTCGCCGTTCAATGGCCTTTTCGGCGTCCTGTCGGACGGTTTCCCATACGCGACGGTAGAGACGTTCCCAACGAGGGAAATCGGTCTCGATTCTGGTGGCCATGAAATCGCCGGCGCTCTTGCACATGCTTTCTATGGCGTGGCAGGCTGTTGTGGTTACGTATATTTCTTCTTTGAAGTTGAATTCGTCGTCTGGTCGGTTCTTGGGTCCGTTGGTTGAGTCTTCTCTTGTCATGAGAGCTGTCGATGAAGAGCTGCTATTGAAGGATGAGGGAAGGCTGATCCTTGCAGCTACGGATGGCCACAGCTCGTTGATGATGGGTAAGAAGCTGTTTTCGTGCCCCGAGAGAATTGGTAATACCTGAATTAGAATAGAAAGCAAGGACCGGCGAAGATAAGGTGATGGAGAAGAAAGATGTGAAGGGATAGACTTGATGATATGTAGCAATAGGTTATGTGATTTGCTCAAGGGCTTTTCTTGGTCTTCGGGTTCGCGTGGTGCGGGTAGTGGTTCGTCTGATTCTTCTATTCCCTTGTTCAAAAGCGTCTCGATATCCTCTTCTGGCCCGACGGGTTTATTAGGCTTAGTGGTCCACGGCCGTTCTGGATGTGAGACTTGCTCGTCAGCGTCAGGAAACTCGTCCAGATGCTTGGCACGTTTCGCTTTCCGATTTGCTAGATCCTCAGCAAGAGTAGAAATCTGTAACCTCTTGTACTGCTTCTTACGATGTTCCGCACGTTCGCTATCCGTTCCATCGCCTATTGCCAGGAATGACGGATTCTTAGTCCCTTCCTCAACAATGGCGGCCAAGGTTTTGAACATCATTTCGACGAGTTTTGGATATCCATGATACATGTCCAATATTCCAAAGATTGAATCGACTAGATCGTCGAGATATGGAATTAACCGCGCACCGCATAGCTTGACCATCATGAACAAGACTTGGGGCGGATACGGTGAGACATCGAACGTGTTTAGCTTCAAGGCCACTGAATTCACAAGGTAATCGACGTTTTCAATAATCATTGTGCTCGTGCTCTCATAATTACAGGCTTCTGTTAGTATATTGAGACAGACCATAGCATGTCTCTGAAGATTCGGGTTGGGCGATGATAGGAGCTGGAGAACAGGGTATAATGCGTCCATCAGTTCTGGTCGAAATGCTTCGTGAAGCTGTTGGGCTTGAAGTGCCACTACCTCTAGAGCGAGTGCCGAAATCCGCCAGTCTTTCGTTTCGTCAGGCAATGATTCGCTTAGTAGAGGGAGTGAGATGTAATATAATTCTTCGGACATATTAGCTCTCGTAGAAAACAGTGATGACGGTTCAATAAAGTCAGATGAAATAAATTCATCAAGACTAGTGAGCTGAGCACCGCCTTTGAGGCATTCCAGCGCCAACCAAAAAGATGCAATCATAGAGTTGCCTGTTTCTTGATGAACTCGGTTAATGATTAGGCGTGTGATATCACTTCCAGATTCGGACCTGTTAAGCCTAAGCATCATGGATTGAAGGTCTTTGAGGGTTTGTTGTTGACTGCGATGTTCCAGAAGAACTGGTGGAAAAGACCTTGACTGATGTCCATGGTGAAGCACTTCTAATGTTTGACTGCCTGAGGCTTCCGGGTTCAGAGGCTGAAGCGCGTTATCTGAATGGTTAATAGCTGCAGAAACACTGTCACACAGTCCTGATGCAAGTCCAGTAGTAAGTATGTCAGATCCAGATTGGATCTGTGACAATATCTGAAAGGCCGTAGATATTTGTTTAAGTGCCCATTGTTTTGACGTTTCATCATTGCTTTGCATGGTTCTCGGGAAAGCGGTAATCCAAGCATGAAGAGAGTTCTTAAGGGAATCCAGAACTTCAGAATAAGTGGTGGCAAGATGCATAAGGATGGTGTATGCATTGTTAGGTGATTCGTCATCACCAGTTTCAGATAACACGACCATAGTCTCAACTACTAAGGGAAGCGACTCTTGCAGCGTGCTTCGGCAATCCTCCACGACCATTGAGCATAGTTCTAACAGCGAAGCTTGTACTTCAGGCCGGTCATGTCGCCTAACCTGAATGACATTTGCAAGCGCAAGCTTAATTTGCGTCGTTGTGGCCTTCAGCCAGGACTCATCAAGTACAAGACCATCACCACTTTCATGAGACTGGGAGAGCTTCTGTGGAGCAACACTCACTACTTTGTCATTAAGGACAACCTTAAGCATGTGTGTAAGGGCTTTAATGCTAGCCGAAAGAAGCTTGTAAGATCGTCGTACTTGAGTTGTAGGCTTGATGACTCTGGTCAGCGTCGAGACCGTCCGTGGCATTATGCTAGCCAGGACTACCCGATCAGTTATTCGATAGTACAGAGCTTGAAGAGCTTTTGCGGCAGAAACACAAAGGTCGTCTGATGTATTGTCTGAAATCCCTTCAAGCAAGACATACACGGTCTGGTCAACAACAGTCGCTGTGCCAATTTCGTTATAGATCGTCTTTTGCGCTACAGGCCCTTCCATGACATCAAATATGGCTGAAAGGCAGTCAAAGCCAGCTATAGACAGTTCTGCTGGTTTGGATTGTGTTTGCTGGTTACTATTTGCTTTATTTGGAGGGCCTCCAATAATCAACGTAAGCAGTATCATGAGCTGCTTGCCCATTTGCGGGGATAAGCGTTCTTGCCATCCGTCAGCAATCAATATCCGCAAACAGTCAACTGCCAACTCCAAGCAATTAGCAGAAATTCTCTGGGTCTCATTGAATATGTGAGACAGCGGAAAGAATGCGTATTCCGCTAGCTTTTCGTCCAGTGAACCTTTACTTGAGAGTTCCTTCAGGACGCTCTGCACTGGTTTGAGGGCCCGGAAAACATCGTTTGGGGATGACTGGTGGCCACGGTATCTAAGGCCGACCGAGCTGAGCTCAACACAAGGATCCCGAAGCTTTGAAATGCATTAGCCAAGTCACTGTCCAGAATGTGTGGAGCTTGTTTGTACCTTTTTAAAGGCTTCTTGCCGTGAGTACTCCATGATGCCTATAATGACACTGTCAAATAAGATCCGGAGTGTGGCTCTACGGACTTGCCATCCGGCTTGCTATCAGTCTATTGGAACTTGTATCTGCTGAGATATCAAATCTCAAAGTACATTAGCCAAACAGTGCAAGATGGAACGTCACAGGTCATCCTTGTTCTCCGCCCCACATTTTCTGCTGGCAGATTTATAGGGCGGTGTGAGAGCGACATTTGTATGGTTTGTATTCTGTCCGTACAGTTACTTTCCAGTCAAATATTCATGGATTTCGACCAGGCTGAGCACATCAATCGGACTTTGTTTAAAAATTAAATAAATAAATAAGTAAAGATTGCTCTCTACTATTTTATTTGAGTCATGGCAACAGGAACCTCATTTAAAAGGTAGACAATATAGTGCAATGGTTTCAATAGCGTTGGGAACCTAGTAGCCATAGCCTATTATTCTAAAATAATACGTGTGAGAGTGAAGCTAATCGTCATTATTGGTCAGTGTGACCTAGTAGTATGAGGCTCTGGAGCCTGGTATATTATTAACGAAGTATCAGACCCTGGACTATTTGATACTACAAGCAACCTTTGCTTTATACGGACTACTATGAAACGGCGACAGCAAGTATTCTGCAGGGCAGACCTGGATGTGAAAGATACTAGTCTAGATGACTATCTCAATTCTAGACACTATACTTCGACTGAAAAGCTCGATACACAGTGAGCATGCAACGCAAATTCTTCCCTATAGTCATAGCCCCCAAGCGTCTAGACAGCATCGCAATTGTCCGTTGTTTGCACACCACTCCGGCATCCAGACATAACACTAACGCTACTGGCATGATCACTGCCACGGAAAGCAGCAATGGAGCCAGCGCCGATGGTTATATGCTTGTTAAAGTCGTAGATCTGAACATCCGCTCCCCAAGTGTTAGATAAGTCGGGGAAGTAGCACTCAATATCTCGGTCCATCTGCTGATAATCAGAGCCCGTACTGAGGGTATAATGTGGCACCTCGTTCTCCCAGCAGCTGGTGAAATCAATTCCGCCGTTGGTGAAGTACTCATCATTATAAGTTTCACGTTTCGCAATGCTGCTATGATTCGATTTTGCTCCGAATCCCATCGACATGACCATGTGCGTATCGTGGAGAGCCGTAACGGTCAAGTGCACACGGGTGTTCTTATGGTTATGCATATGAAAAACATGCCAGGAGGTACCCTCAAATAGGCTGAGCAGCTTCAATCTCGGATGATCATGTCTCATATAACCGTCAAAAATGACCGGCAGTTGGAAAACGTTGCTCAGGAGGTCCCCGAAGTGCGCAATGTCAGCCTCAAAACTGGCCATATCCACATCCCGTTTCCATGCCACCTGGGTACTATAATAGTTGATCTTCTCAGCGACAGATTTGAGACATATACCCGGCTCCGATAAAGCTTGTGGCGGTGGAGATCTCTCCCCAAATACAGATCGCAGCATTTCCGGCGCTGCTGCTGAACTCCGAACAGCTAGTCGCTAAGCTGTGGAATGTAAACACCTGGTTGCCTGTCCAGAGAAGGGCACCCAAAACCCAAGGAATGGCTCTCTTTGTGACAGTATTTTTGCCGTGATGAGAGTACTCCTGCTGTTGCTCTTGAAGATACCGGAGCATCTCACACTCTTTGCCCACGGGGACGGTAAGATATGCGGCCAATGCAAGCTTAATGGCCATAAGGACAACAGTGGCCAGCAGCATCTTAATAGATCTTCGAAGACGGCTGTTCTCTCGCTGAGAGAAGGGAGACATCATCATGTCCGCTTCAGCAGTGTTGTATACATTCTCTCGAATGTTAGAGTTTTCTCCATCATTGGACTTGACGTCTTGGTAAAACAACGGGAACAGATTAAAAGGAGAAAACAAGGAATATATGGTTTCAGTATGATAATGGAGTTGCTTGGTCGATGGGAATTCTTGCATTGATTAGAATATTATTCCTGGCTGAGAAGCGTCCATATCTGGCTTTATATAACCATCCCGAAATGGACCGAAGCCTGTCTCGGTCGTAAATCTTTCCTCCAGTTAATACCCTAAAGGCCTCACTACGTGGAACAGTAGCCGCATGAGTGACGATCCATGCTAGGAGCAAGAAAAGTTCCTTTGGTGTATAACACAAGCTTGGGGGCTAAGAGCAAGTGCCCACTGTCAATATTTTCGGGCAGGAGGAGACATTTGAATTGCGGGTCAGTGGAAAAACACCGCTAGCATGGTATTGGATGGGAGGAGGTCCAAGATGCAATTACCGTAGCGGAGCATGGTATATTTGAAATGAAACTACTTTTATAAGGAATACCACAGGGGGATTGTTACCCAGCAGTCTGCATGATACTACATTTTGCCATCACCAACTTCGCAAGATTCAAAGCTGCAACGCTCAACCTAAATTGTGAGTTTGGTCCAAAAGTCCGTATACCCGCATAGTCGTATATACGTGGAAATTTATGCCTAAAACTCGGAGTCAACAAGTTTCGCCTGGAGTGTCTTCGAAGCTTGATTGCCTTGTCCTTTCTTTTAATTTGGCGGGAACACAGTTTCTCAGCCTTAGGGAGAAAGGGCTACGCTAAATCACCGCCAGCCCTACCTAGAGAATCTACAGAAAAAGAAAACGAGAAAAAAGAAAACGGTCTGTGTGGTCTGTCCAGGAAGACTGAGAACCAAAGCCACGGGGTACGGTCTTCTATCCTTGAAGGAAGGCATTAAAGCCCTTTATTCTTTACTGGCTCCCCAATGGTATACTGTGATTTCTTTTTTGTCTGTACATAAACAGGCAATAGTGTTATTTTGGGGTTACGATACGTGCATGCTTACTATGCTTTGCTTGCAAGCTCAAGAGAGCCCTTCGTAACTGAGGGCTCAATGATTTCCGTTGTCTACCATGTTTCGGGCATCTCATTTCCCTCGTGTCCGGCAATTACGATGGATCCTGGGTATGTTGATAGCCAAAGCAACTAGTTCGTACGGCCCGAACTATAGAGCCTACTCGCTCCACTTCCAAATGTACCCTACAGCGGAAAATGAGTTCACAGTTCCAACGGGTTGCTGAAATCAATACATTTGCCCTGGAGGAAGTGACGGGTTCATGTGTGGGACCCTGTAGTTTACGACCGGTTCGATCAAGCGTCTAGCTCTTTTTGCGTCCGACAATCTACTATAGTAACACAGTGACACTAGGGGATCTTCCGCTCCCAGGTTTTTCAATCTCATTGTGGAACCGAGGCCTTTGGTTGATACTTCCAACTTACCCGGTATGGCCGACTGCCTCTATGCAGGTAATTTATGTAAGTATTTAAGCTGACCTATGCTTATCCCTAATTTCTTCCAGGAAGCCATCACAATTCACCGGAATGAGCAGATTGCTTGGTCTTCACCAACAAGGTACTATAGGAAATTAAGAGAATTCTCAAACTTCCTGTTTCTACCAATATTGACTCGAACCATAGTGCAAAGATAGATGCTGGAGTAGGCTATCAGCATCATCGGGAATAGCGCGGTGGACATCGAGCTCGCGTAGGGCTTGGAATAGTATCACCTAGATCCCCCCTAGTCTGGGTAGTAAAGGGTAAGCATCACTAGTGAACATTAGTGGCATTTAGCCTAATAGTACACATGCATGTCTTCCCCACTTCATTTTACGGCATATGCTCGGGACTTTCATTGACATCATCTCCGAGATTTCATACCACACTAATGAAAACATCAGCATATAGGTCTAGCAAGTCCTACAACCATTAATCAGGGCCGGAGATTAACAGTTGACTGAGGAGTCATTCTTGTTGAGGTCTTTCAGATATACTACGTCAACTTTTTATCGAAGAGCAGAATCCTGAAAGGAGGACAGCTTGGGAAATAACGTCGCGCTTCGGGAAATCCTTCCATCCATTGCCTGAACCTTATACTCGGCTATTTTATACTCACTTGACCATATGTTCTCAAGTTTGTTTATCATCATATTCCATCAAAGCCCCTGGATCTTCAACTAACCCATCGCCACCATCACTATAGTACTTTACAAAGATTTCCAGCGGCGCCAGGTCGTAGAATTCCCAGACAGGTTCTCCCGCGCCACAATCCTAGAAGCCTTCCACAACCATGACCTAATGATCAGATCGCTCTACCTGGGGTCTCTCATCAAGGAAAGCACCTCTATCAGTTCAAACTCCACAAAGTTCTCATCGTTAGACCCTAATTCGAACGTCACCACCGTCTGTACTCTAACTAGTCTCGAAGACGGCATTGGCATGGTCGTAGACTTGGGGCTAGGGATGAAAATCAACTGCCACTGGATTATTCATGATCGTTCTGAGAGTCCACCATCGTGTGAGGATACGGCTTTAACGGGCGATATTGTGCCAATAGGATCACTATATCTTCTTGAAGAGGTGGCTTTTCATATTATGAGGCCATTTGAGAGGTTCACGAGGAATGATCGCCAGCAAAGTCATGCTACGGAGGGTATTCTTAGGTTACTGCAAAGATTGAAAAGCGGGGAAGTGTCTGGTGGTGAACTGGCTGCTGAGGGGAATGAAAGTGAGGTTGATAGTATGGTGGAGGATGTAAAACCGAAAAGGGAATAATGTTTGTTCAAATATATACCTCAGGCTCTCTTTCAGCTGTTATCGTGAAAGTTAATAAACCATCAACCTTTCAAGCTAAAGATATCACTATAATTCATATATTAAAGAAGAAACAAAGACAATGCTGTACCATCGAATGTTTCCTATTGTTTTCCCCTCTAAATTTACAAAATTTATAGAAAAGAGAATGCACGTCACGTCAATCTATGTACACCATCCTTATCTTATCGACAGCCACGTGACCCAATTAATCTCCGCGTCACGCGTTGCGCGCAGGCAGCCGGCTTCTGCCTTCATTGAGATTCAGTGAATTGTTTTTTTAAAAAAACAATAAATGCGGCGCATAATCTGGCGCAATTCCTGATTTATACATAATTCTTTTAACCCCTCCTTCCAATGTCTGTTTAATACACGGGTGAAGACGACGTCTATGTCCACTCGTCGCAGATCCGCAATTGTTGCGCCCTTCCAGAAACCAATCATTTTCACGCCAGTACCGCAACGTCTTTATTTAATCAGCTGTCGTGCTCGTGTCCAGCAAGACGTAGTTGGGCACAGATTCCTCCAAAGACAATTTGCTACGCACCGATCGCAGACGAATCTCCGCGCATTAGCTTCTCTCTATCCACCTACACTTTTAAAAATGGCAGATTCGAAGGGCCGGAAGCAGGCTACGCTGGGGTATGTTCGTGACTCCCAGTTGACTCTCGGGTGCGTCTTGATATGAGTCGCCCGGGTGAAGCTATTGTTTGTGGATGATTGGCGTGGCTAACTGGTATATTTTTGGTTTCTAGTCGATTCTTCGGCTCGAATGCGGACCCGAAAGAAGCTCCCAAGAAACAGACTACACTTTCTTTCACTGGCAAGAAAGATAAGTCCCAGAAAGATGGAGCGAAACCAGCGTCTCCACACGAATCTTCATCTGCAAATGGACAGGCTTCTAATGGGGTTGGAAGCGAAAGTACTACCAAAGCAGATACAGCTGAGACTAAGCCGGCGCCTGCTCAGGAAGATGAACATAAAGACTCTAATGACCTGAAAAGGAAAGAGAGTGAGGAAGAAGCAAGTGACAGCGATGTACAGCCCGCACAGAAACGGAGACGGAGGACTTCACGAAGTGGGGAAGGGACACCTTCCCCGAAGAAGAAATCTAAGACACCATCTCCTAAGCGCTCCAAAGCTAATAAAAACATTAAACCCGAAGAGACAGAGCAGCCAGCTGTTGTAAAGAAAGCGTCGGGAGAGGAGACTCCTGAGGAAGACAAATCCGAAGATGAAGCGTTGTCGGCTAGTGAAGAGGAGGAGGAAAAGCCCGAGGTGATGAAAAAGACCATGGAAAAGGTGCAGGCTACGTTGAAAGCGAGTGGCAGTGAGCCATATCCGGACTGGAAACCTGGTACCCCCGTCCCTTATGCAGCACTGTGCACTACCTTCTCACTTATTGAAATGACCACCAAGCGATTGGTGATCCTTGCCCATTGCTCTCTTTTTCTTCGCCAGGTCCTTCGGTTGACACCGCAAGACCTCCTTCCGACAGTCCAGCTTATGATCAATAAACTGGCTGCCGATTATGCCGGCATCGAGTTGGGAATTGGCGAGTCCCTGATCATGAAAGCCATTGGCGAGAGTACCGGCCGCAGCTTGGCGGTCATCAAGGCAGATCAGCACGAGATTGGAGACCTGGGTTTGGTGGCAGCTAAGAGTCGATCGAACCAGCCTACCATGTTCAAGCCGAAGCCATTGACAGTTCGGGGAGTTCATGAAGGTCTTCTGGGTATCGCTAAAGTCCAGGGTCACGGTTCTCAAGACAAGAAAATTTCCGGTATTAAGAAGCTTCTCTCTGCCGCCGACCCAGAAACAGCGGGAAAGGGTAGCAAGGGTGTGGATATCACAAAGAACAAGGGTGGTCCCAGCGAGGCCAAGTATATTGTTAGATTTTTGGAAGGTAAATTAAGACTAGGGCTGGCTGAAAAGACCGTTCTTGTCGCCCTTGCTCAAGCAGTGGTGACTCATGAAGCCGCCCTCAAAGGAGAGAAGGCCCCTTCACCTGAAAAGCTGGCTGAGGGCGAGGCTATCCTAAAGACGGTGTACAGCGAATTGCCCGCTTACGAGATTATTATCCCTGCCATGCTTGAGAACGGCCTGTCCAAGCTCCACGAGGCTTGCAAGCTACAGCCCGGTATCCCGATTAAGCCTATGCTTGCTAAGCCGACGAAATCCATCACCGAAGTACTGGACCGTTTCGAAGGAAAGGAATTTACGTGTGAGTACAAGTACGACGGAGAGAGGGCACAGATTCACTACGTTGCACCAGACGCAACCCACAACTACCCGGAGGCACAACACACGTTACAGAAGGATGGCAACGGCCTCGCTGCGATTTTCTCTCGTAACTCCGAAGATCTGTCGAAGAAATACCCCGATGTGTTGGCTAGGCTCGACGGCTGGATCAAAGACGGTGTGAAGAGTTTCGTCTTGGACTGTGAGACTGTTGCTTGGGATACGGTGAACAAGAAGGTTCTGCCCTTCCAGCAGCTGATGACCCGCAAACGTAAAGATGTGAAGGCAGAAGATGTCAAGGTCAAAGTTTGTGTATTTGCCTTTGACCTCTTGTTCCTGAACGGAGAGGTAACGTCGATAACTTGATCATTCCATTGACTGCTGCTAACCATAGCTACTTCTAGCCTACTGTCAAGAAATCACTTCGCGAACGCCGAGAACTTTTACATGAATCATTCCAGGTTACGGAAGGCGAGTTTCAGTTCGCTCAGTATGGTAACACCAACGTACTGGACGAGATTCAGGAGTTACTGGACGACAGTGTCAAGGCATCGTGCGAAGGTCTGATGGTGAAGATGTTGGATACGGATGAAAGTGGCTACGAACCAAGTAAGCGGAGTCGAAATTGGCTCAAGGTGTGTATCGCGGAATCTATATACCTCTGCAGCGTAGCTAATTGTGAGCATAGGTTAAAAAAGATTACCTTAGCGGTGTCGGTGACTCGCTTGACCTCGTCGTTCTCGGTGCATACTACGGACGAGGTAAGCGTACCTCCGTCTATGGTGCTTTCCTTCTGGCGGCGTACAACGCGAATACACAAACATATGAGTCGATTTGTAACATCGGCACCGGGTTTTCGGAAGCCAACCTCGAGGAACTTCACAAGGAGCTGTCTCCCCTGGTCATTGATCGACCGAAGCCATTCTACACTCACTCGACGGTCCCCAAGGATCAGCCTGACGTCTGGTTTGAGCCCCGGCTGGTCTGGGAAGTGAAGACAGCCGATTTGACGCTCAGCCCGCGATATCAAGCTGCAGCCGATGAGTTCGTGGGTACGACCGGTGGAGGCAAGGGTGTTTCTCTCCGCTTCCCCCGTTTCATCAAGCCACGAGAGGACAAGAAGCCGGAACAAGCGACGACGACGAGGCAAGTAGCCGAGATGTATCGGAAACAGGAGGCGGTCGCGAAGGAAAATGCGGGTAAGAAGGGAGTGGACGATGATTTTGAATATTAGTCGGGGTTCCTGGGTTTAATCTCCGATGTGGAGTGCATTGCATAGTACCTATTATACTTTCCTTCTACCATCGCTTTCCGGAGTCCGGTTTATTGTACCATACACTAGGGGGTTTTCCGTTTATGTTTGTTTTGATGCCGATCGCGTCATGAGTTGAATGTCACGCCATTCTGGGTAGAGTCCGGACGATTGATAATATGATGGTCAAATCAATCGTTCATACAATCTGATATATTAAGCGCCAAGAAATCGGAATTAATTGAACGAGTCGGTGTGCTGATAGCGCAAGTTGTCGCCATCGACGACCGTCCAGAGTATTTACATGGATACAGACTAGTAGTACATACATGAGTCCACCCCGCTTATCGCCGGCGGCAGTAACCGATCAACGGGAGGCTTGACCGGAGGAACCAACTGATTATGTCCTTAATTGCTCCTTGGCATGTAACCCAAGAAATGGAGTCAAGACCAACCACGCGAGTGTGGTGGAGAACCCCATTCCGTTGCAACCTGTTTATCTCACTAATCACTATGACTAGTATCAATTCATGGATGTCGGCAGTATTGCGGCTTTGTTACTAGTGACCATGATCTCTCAATACTCTCCCAATTGGGCAGGTTCTTAATCGCGAAATGCGGAGACATTCCGTGCGATTCCCTCTCTATAAATCAGCCATGTTGTCATCCCCCCCGTCGATGATCATTCCACACTTCTCTCCCTTCGGTATCACAGTTTCCCTAGGGGTCCGATTGTCGTGGATCTTCGTACTGTAGAGACGAGATGAAGTCGGTACTCAATATGGGAGCTCTCCGGTGGCTCTCCATTGCTGCTACTGCCTCGACCGCGTTGGCCCTCAACCCTGAGTAAGTCGCAATAACCATTCAAATGTTCCACAGGGCATTTTGTTTGCTAATTGAACACGACAGGGGCCTGATAAGCGCTCCGCGGAGATCGGAAGCGATTCCTAATCCTTCTGGTGTAAGCATTGACACTGATCAGCCTGTATCTGGACGCCAAATACTAACGCAATCTGCGTAGGATGTCGCGGTGTTCTCGCAATCGCAATACTCCTTCGAGACCCACAAGACTACCTCGCAGTGGAACCTGCTGGACCTTAAGTCGGGCGATATCAAGCTCTTGACGAATGACAGCGATGTCTCCGAGATTGTCTGGCTAGGCTCGGATGACTCCACCGTTCTCTATGTCAATGGCACCAATGCCGACATCCCGGGAGGTGTAGAATTGTGGGTGTCGGACATCTCCGATTTCGCCAATGGGTATGTAGCACCTCTTATTTCTCGAATGGTTGTTTGCACCAATCGCTGACTCAACGCATAGATATAAAGCAGCTTCATTGCCAGCTTCATTCTCTGGCTTCAAAGTCGTCACCACAGACTCCGGCGATGTGCGCTACGTCGCATACGCCGAGTCGTGGGCAAACGGCACAGCATACAACGAAGAGCTAGTGGCAAAGCCTCTGAGCTCTGCTCGCATCTATGACAGCATCTACGTGCGCCA